TCCAACCTGAGAAGCAACCTGTGAAAGCTTTCTTGAGCTTTCTGACCTCTTCCCTGCTTTCATGCATCTCAGGTTCCCAGTCATTTTGGAAAGAACAAGTTCTGCCTAAACTCCCTTGAAGGAAACAAATGTGTGCTCTGAATTTCTAAGAAATCCCTCCCAAATATGAATCCAGTGTAGATGGGACAAACATGAAGGACTAGTAGAAGCCCCTACTCTGAATGGATTTGGGACTTGTGGAAGGGGAAAATTGAAATTTGTAGGATGAGAAAGAGTCACTAGTCTACCCAGTGTCTTTCAGCCTAGGTTTCTTCTCCAGAGGGGTTAGAAAGGAGCAAGGGAAAGGCATCCCACAAAGCCCCAGTGCACTGCAGGGATGGAAAGAAATTAGCTCAATGGCACTAGGGTGAGCCCTAGCTTCCATGTGGGTCAACGAAGACTATCATGGTACCCTGACATGGAAAGAACCCAGTCCAGGTGGCAGATGGCTAATCCTAACCAGGTACTTACAAAGTGCATCAATTACTATGACAAAAGGAATGCTAACAGTTTTGAAGAAAACTTTATTTTTCTAACAAATGAATGACAAAATATGATCACATAGTTTTTATCAGGTTCTGAGATGAATTTTTTTGCATAACCTTTTCTCATTTGTAGGCTATGGAACAACATTTTTTTTGGTGGGAGGGTGAAATAGGTACCATACAGCATGTTTAATTTAGCTCTCCTTTGTCTGAATTTAAAGACATATTTCTCTTTTCCTTATTTGAATCCAGTATTTAAATCCTAGATGTTTACATTACAAATTGTTATTATAAGCTGAGCACCAGGAGCTCACACCCGTAAACCTAGCTCAGGAGGCTGAAATCTGAGGATTGTGGTTAAAAGCCAGCCTGGGCAGGAAAGTCCATGAGACTCTTATCTCCAATAAAGCACCAGACAACTAGAAGTGGTGCTGTGGCTCAAGTGGTAGAGCACTAGCTTGAGCAAAAGTAGGGACAGCTCCCAAGGCCCAGAGTTCAAGCCCCACAACCAACAACAAAAAAAAAATTGTTACTATGAAGGTGATCCCCAGAGCAGTTACAGTTATATAAATCAGGTGAAGAGTATATTTCTTTTTGGACAATGTCACTCCTCCCTTTCCAGTTTTTCCCTCCCATCCCCACTAGCTGTTTACATTTTAGCTACTTCTTTTTCTTTCTTTAAGCAAGAAAGCTAGGAAACATTTTTGTATGTTAGTCTTGTAACTGTGATTTAAAAATTACCCTAATGGTAGGCCGGGTTCTTGCCTGTAATCCTATCTATTCAGGAGGCTGAGATCTGAGGATCATGGTTCAAAGCCAGCCTGGGCAGGAAAGTCCGTGAGACTCTTATCTCCAATAAACTACCCAAAAAAGCTGGAAGTGGAGCTGTGGCTCAAGTGCCTTGAGCAAAAATGCTCAGGAATAGCACACACACACACACACACACACACACACACACACACACACACACACACACACACACAATTATCCTAATGATTATTCTAGTTATACGAAGGCAGAGATCAAGAGGATTATGAGTGGAGGACAGCTAGGCAAAAAGTTAGTAAGAGCCCATCTCAATGGTAGGGTATGGTATGGTAGCTCATATCTTATTTCCATCTAGATGGAGGCCTAGGCCCGACTCCAAACTAAAATCTAAATAATAACCAAACTAAAAGGGTTGGTAGGGTGTCTCTAGTGGTAGAACATTTGACTACTTAAGTATGGGTCTCTTAGTTCCAATCCTAGTATTGCCAAAAATAAATAAAAGAATTTCCTAAAGATAGTCATAATCCATTTAAGTTAGGCATGTTAGCTTTAACAACAATGAAATTATATGACAAGATCAAAAGTGCTCTTACCAGGAAAGGCTGCAGCATACTACCATGAACTCAAAGATTACAAGAGAAATCTCAACCAAGCAAGAAGGAAGCAGCACTGGGAGCCCCCACCAAAGCTATTTGTAGGGATTGCCAGGGCCAGTTTTTCTAGATGGACTTGCACTGTCTCCAGGTCCCTCTCTCTCCTGATCCTGAAGATTATAGGGCCAGCCACCACTGCACCAGAATATCACCTTTCTTTACCTGGCAAAGGAAACTCACCCACTTTAGATACTTCAACCTAGCAGGCATCAGGGGAGGATAGAAATAGGTATTGGTGGTAAGAAGTAGGTATTTTTTTTTAATTTAATTTTTTTTATTGTGAAAATACTGTATAGAGGGGTTATAATTACATGGCCAAGATAGTGAGTACACTTCTTATCAAGCATTGTGGCCTCCTCCTTTGTTTACCCTTCCCATCCCTTCCCAGCCTCCCCCCTTCCCCCTACCCAATCCTCCCCCCACTCCCCCACCAAAGTTGTAAAGTTCGTTTTGGACATGACAACTTGTACTTCTCATTGTTGCAACGGGTCCACTTGTATCCTTATTTAAACGACTTGTTTTTCCCCTTCCCCTCCACAAATTATACCGACATCAAATACAGTGAAATCAGGGGTTATACTGTGGGGGAGGGACATACAAAGCAACAAAGAAATAATCTTATAAATGCGTTAGAAACAATCGCATGAAAGAAAAAAAACATTTGAATACGTATCTTAGGGTTCAGTTCCCTAACATCAACTTATCTGACCTTTTCTGCTTGACTCAGACATACACTAGTTATTGCAAATAAGAGAAACCATGGGACCTATGTTTCTTTGGGCCTGGCTTACTTCACTTAATAGAATTTTTTCCAAGTCTTTCCATTTCCTAACAAATGGGGCAATGTCATTCTTTCTGATGGAGGCATAGAATTCCATAGTGTATATATACCACATTTTCTTGATCCATTCATCTACTGAGGGGCATCTGGGTTGGTTCCATATCTTAGCTATAGTTTATAATGCTGCAATAAACATAGTTGTGCTGGTAGCTTTAGTGTGATCTTGTTTGTAAACATTTGGGTAAATGCCCAAAAGTGGGATTGCTGGGTCATAGGGGAGCTCTATGTGGAGTCTTTTGAGGAACCTCCATACTACTTTCCAAAGTGGTTGAACAAGTTTACGCTCCCACCAACAGAAGTAGGTATTTTTTACCTGAAGCTGCATCTACAACCAGATTTTAGGACCAGCACAAAAATGCTCAGCAACACAAGAATCTCCCCCTCTTTCACTGTCAAAGGTTTATGGTTTGCTATGTGGGAAACCGAGTTTAGGAAGATGAAATATCCTGTATTTAGGGAAACAAAAAAGCCAAGTCATCTTTAGTCGTTTCCCCATGTTTCTGAATACTGGCGAGTTGAGCTTCCCTAATCTTTAGACATACAACTTGAAGTGCCAGCCTTTCTTTCTTGAATTTGTTTCCATTTTAGCTGAGGCTCCTTTTCTCCCCAGAATTGCTACCTAACTGATAGGTATTGTGTTTTGTAATGGTGTATGTGCTGGTTATGACAGTCACTTCCTGTTTTCACCCCAAAGCCTCCCTCTATGATCTGTGTTTACCCTGCAAGTTTATGAAATATAATATCCTTTACATATGTCTTCCTGGATAAATGAATAGAGTTCTGCTGACCCAGGACAAAGGCATAGTATCTTGAGACTTTCCCTATTGATGTCATTGCAGGTCCTGGCATACTTGTGGCACTCTATACGATACAGTTCATTTTCCAAGCTGTGTCTTTTCAGCTGGAGCAATAAGTATCTATAATTGGCTTCCTTACATTTAGACACTCAGAGAACTCCTACACCAAACTAAGGGCAAGGTTGTAATGAGTGGGAGAAAAGTAAATACAAAAAATATATATATATATGTAATAAAGGGATTGTAGGAGAAAAAGTCACAGTGCTAGAAAACAAAAATCCCAACAAATGCTTTCTAAGTGATATCCAAGAAACAGTACAGAGTAAAGCAAAGGACTGTCAACTCAAATGAAAAGAAAGGAAGAAGCAAAACTCAGGAAAGACTTACCAATTGCAAAAATGGGTCATCTGCAAAAGTGTATCATCTTTGTGGCTCAAGGTTGAGCACCAAATTGTTGATGTAAAATGACTGATCTAAAGGATATAAGGAAATAATCTATGTTGAGTCAAATATGAGAGACTGGGGCCTGGGAACATGAATTCAGGTTACCCTGAATGGCATGTTCTACAGCAAAGCAAGGAACCCTTTTCTGCAGGTTTCAGACCTTATGATGTTCTTAGCTTTATTACTGATGGTTAGAGGTATGCTCAGCTTAGAGATACACGTTAAGAACCTTACCTAGTAGTCACAACAGTGTTCAGTTCAACACAGAATTTCAATGGCTTAAACAGCCCAAGAGGTTTGGTTCTCAACCTATTACATTGCTTCTTTCCACAGTGTTGATGTTCTAGTCATCTAGGTTCAAGCACGGCAGGATCTTCAGTACCGAAGCAGCTTCAAAGCTTGATGTGGCACCAGCAAGTCTACTACAATCAGACTGGCTGTATTGAGGAACCAGAACTTCTGTTCAACCTTAGCTGTGTACTAACTGATCCTCTCTTCATACAAAATATGTTTCCTTTATTTGGGGCAGATATTGTACAAAGTAATATAGGGGTAATTCTAAGACACCCATAACATCTTTTGCCATACATATAATGTTATCTCTCATTGAGGAAGGAGGAGAGAAAACCTCACCTAGCAGTACATCAAATTCAGGCTAGGATAATAGATCTTTGCTCTGGGACAAAGAAATCAGGTGTAGAAAAGCCAGATTTTACAAACTAGGTGACTTAGCCAACACATCTAACACTTATGTTTTATACATCTTGTATTAACTTCATGTGGCTATACCTCTTCTTATTAGAGCTCAATAATTAAGTAAAGAGCCCCTTCAAAGAAGGCAACTTTATAGTAAAAAACAGTCTCTAAATCTTGTTTTATAAAACATAGTTTTCGCTACTCAGGGGGAAATTTTTCCTAACCTTCAACTGAGGGATATGAAATGACCTTTCAATCTTGCATATTGTTCCAACAGGTCCTTTGTCATCCAGCAAATCCCAAGCAGCAATCTGTTCATGGTGGTAGTGGACAGCAGCTGCCTCTGTGAGTCTGTGGCTCCCATCACCATGGCACCCATTGAAATCAGGTATATCCTTTGGTGTGCAGCTCCACCTGCTAGTGCCAAAGTCAGAAAAGGGATATGTTACTGCTGGTTGGCAGTGGTCCGTGGCACTGTAATGGCCTCAGTTCTTGAGTATAGTGACTAAGTTAGAACATTGGCAGAAAAATGAGCAAAGAAAAACATGTATAATAAGGCGAAAGAACACCTGGTGGTGTAAGTTAGAGAAGTCCTTTTGTCCCCAATTGTCACTGTTCTGAGTCCATTGTCAGGCAACAGAGAGGGCACCTGTTAGCATAAAGTTTTGAGGCCCCCCACCTTAACTCCTACAGGGTACAGAGGTACATATGTTGCCTACTTGTGGGATGACAAATGCTGCTCAATGAGGAGAGTTAGGTCAGCTTTGTTTGTCTGTTTGTTTGTTGTTGTTTTTTAATCTCTTGGTCTGCCACTGGTGGAGGTCATATGGTGGTCACCTGTGGCCTTTGTGCACACTGGACTTGAAATGAAAAATATGCCCCTTCAGGAAGGTGTGCATTAGTCATAAGCCCAAGATGATTGGCCCATTGGAATGTCTCATGCCTGGCTATCCGCCCCGGGTAGTAAAAGATCAACAGTCAGAATACCTGTGGGAGAAATATTAAGAGAGGGAAAAACGTTTTATCATTTCCACTCACTAGAGAGTGAAATTTTCAAGCCAGTTTAATACCAAGCTTTGACCTCTGAAATTCAGAGTAGGAAAAGTAAGCCTTTGAAACACGCCTTAACTACAGTCAACATAATGAATCACTTAAGTGCGAACGTTTAAAGGCTCAGAAGATCAGAAGGCGTCCGGAATCATGTCATGGCTTCCATCCTGAGGTAAGTGTGAGAATTGATTCTATTCTCTTTTCCCATCAAATTTAAAATGACAGCCTCATAACAGCTGAGATGTTTACTCTTGAGAAAAATCCCTAACAGGAAACAAAAACAGAGGAAAATCCGGAAAGGTGATCCTCGGTGCTTTCTTTTCCTACCCTATATAAAAAGGATAGATTAGAAAAGGACTCTTAGCATATGTGATGTGGCTGTGGCTCACTAAATGTTAAAATTAATTTTCCCTGCTTACTTTTAGGCAGCGTTTTTGTTAATAAATTCACTCATATAAACATTAGTCGTCATTGATAAAGCCTCTAACCTTGTGAAGACATTCTACTTATACCTGATGGTTGGAGGAAATAAAGTTAATCCAGAGAAAGGTAAACTTATAAAAGAATACCACCAGTAATGCTATATGCACAAAGGTTTTAAATCCAGAAAAATAAAAATCTAGAAATTAACTCCATGTCTACCCTCAGATCCATTACCATAGGGTGAATAAATACCTACTCTCAAAACTGTTAATACGGCCAACTGCTTGTTAATCTCGCCTTTAAATAGCAAATTATTTTTAACTTAAGATAACACAAGTTATTAAATGATGGTTACATTTGCTTTTGTAGTCAAAGGGTAAATTCAACAGCAGTATACTATACAAATACATGCTGAAAGGTCTTTGTAAAAATTCAGTGATCAACTCTACAATGATCAAAACCACAAACTGAAAGTATAGAAAAGTGTAGATACAAACAATAATCCCAAACACTAAACTTCCAATTAAAATCAGGGACGGCATACTTAGACAGCCAAGAGTAGATTTTATATAATTTTATAAATTATAAGATAATTTGCTTCAGGAACTGAATAGAAGACAAATATATGAAACCTACAGTTTTTAAGTTTCTATAGTAGTGAGATGAGGTCCATGTAACAGAATAAAAAATGTATATATAACACATAGACTAGTTTTACATGGTAAAATGTTAGAAGTATGAGGGTTAGATTCTAAGGAATAGGAACCCTCTCTAGCAAAGACCAGAAAGCTATTGAAGGAAAGCAGATCCATATAACTAGACCAAAAAAATGTAACTATAACCAAGATTGTTCAAGTTCATTAGCTAATTTCATGGAACTTGAAAAAAGATAAGTCACTGAGAGATCAGGAAGTTCAGGTAATGATGAAATGTCTTGTAGCAATTAGTACCTTTGCCATAGAAGTTACTGAGAGATAAGGAAGCCCAAGTAGTGATTCTAGTGATTGGTATCTTTGTCATAGGTAGAGAAATGGAAAATGCCATTGGCTACATGACCTGTGACCAACAGTCTTTAAAACAATAAAGAATGCATGATAAAAATGAATGCTTACTAACAACAACATAGCATAATAAAATAGAAGGGAAATGTCAGTTAGTGAATATGAACCAATCTGGAGTAAGAAGTAAATAAATTTTCATTTTTGTGGAAGTCTCCTCTCACACATCAAAAAGTGAAGATAGAAGGAAACACATACAAACCATGGACAAATTAGGCCCTCCATTATAATCTTTATATACTGAAACATAGAAGACCGCATTTTTTTTAAATTTTAAGATAATCAAAGCAGACATCTCTACCACCAGGCCTTTACCTCTTTCTTGAGTGTTCTACTTAAGAGTTTGCAATGAGGAATTTTATGAATTGACAAATGAAATCAGAGATTTATTTATTTATACATTTATACATTTATTTATTTATTTATTTTTGTCAGTCAATCTGGGCCTGGGTGCTGGTGTCCCTGAGCTCTTCAGCTCAAGTTGAGTGCTCTACCACTTGAGCCACAGCACTACTTCCAGTTTTCTGGTGGTTAATTAAAGATAAGAGTCTCACAGACTTTCCTGCCTGGGCTGGCTTTGAGCCTCAATGCTCAGATCTCATCCTCCTAAGTAGCTAGGATTACAGGTGTGAGCCACCGGTGCCTGGTGAAATCAGAGATTAAAAACAATTTTTTTTTCTAGTTGTGGGGCTTGGGTACTATCCATGAGCTCTCTTGCTCAGGATTAGTATTACCACTTTGAACCCAGTACTACTTCCCATTTTCTGGTAGCTAACTGGAGATAAAGAGTCTCACAGACTTTCTTGCCCAGGGTGGCTTTGAACTAGGTTCCTCAGACCTCAGCCTCCTGAGTAGCGTGGATTGTATGTGTAAATCACTGGGGCCTGGAGAAATGAGAGATTTTTAAATCTCTAACTTAATGAGATTTGCATAGATACATACTATCTCATCATTTAGGTCCCAGAAGAATTTGTCCTTAGATTGGAAAGGGAAGAGAGGCCTAGGAATCACTCTGATTTCAAAGTTGCAAGTTTAACACCTACTGGAACTAGTTGTGCTCTAACCAACCCCTGCTTCCCCCATAGGAGAATGCAAGGGAGTGTGGGGGTGCACCGACTCTCCAAGCCTCAGTGGCCCTTTTTCTGCTCCCTCTGCTTTTGATCCTCTTCTCAAGGTGACACTGACTGAGATATTCTCTTGGCATGCTAAATCATGGATAAACTGTGAACCAAAATATGGTGCGACATAGGAGATATAAAATATATAGTCCAACCATCAGCATCTCATGATTTTAAACTGTGCGTGATATAAACTCTTAAAGATATGTTGACAAAAAAGTTATCTTTTTACTTTGCTAGTCATGCCAATGTGAGTTTGCCACATGATATTCATTCTCATCAGACATGGGACTGCCAGAGGTAGGCAGTGTCCCTTCTGCTTGAAACCCATGGAAATCAATTTAAAACTGTGTACTTTTTAAATAAAGTATATTAAAATCATAATCTCCTTGTTTGGAATCTATCATCATTTTATGGGCTGAGAACTAAGTCTAAAAAAAAAATGATTGGGAGGGAAAAGCCATCCTTTCCAGAACCCAGTAAAGGGGAGTTGTTGGCAGAGAATTTGTTCTAAAGCTGATTCTAGACAAATATTTAACAATTGTTTAAATGTCCCACTCAAATGTAAAAATATTTACAGAAGTAAATCAAAATATCATCTACATAGGAAGAGTTTATTACATGGAATCCTGAATTCTGTTGAATTAAACTTCAATAGAAATCATAATTTGGGTAAGAACACAGCTCTCATAACATTTAAACACTGAACCATTTAAGAATAGAAATAAAGAAGTCATAAATCCTAGACATTTATTCTGAAAAGATGTGGAGGGAAGAGAAAATGGCCATGAAAGACGCTAAAACTTATGGCTTGAGCATTTGGCTTTCCCCATAAATATGAGGTGAAATTAGATCTCAAATATTACAAAATGTGAAAATATCCAGACCTGTAACCATTCCTAAAATACCAGATCCTGGACCAATGAAAACAGATTCAAAAGGATCCTGGTAACCAAATAAAGTAGAATAATTTCCATGCGTAGGTAAAGAATGTCTTGCTTTATAGACACATATCTTTATAAGAGTCATCTGGAGAAAGCCACCACAACTCTCAAAAAGGGACACATTATCCTGTGGTTATTTTAGAAAACCCAATGATATCATTACTTAAATGATACTTATTACTTATTACTAAAATGATCCCAATGTTGAGAATAACACTACCATATTGTTATATTTTTAAATTACTATGTCTCCAAAGCTGTTCTCAATGAAACCATACTTGTACATGCTTAATAGTCAAAACTTTACAACCATGTGATTTTAGAATTATGACTTTGCTGCTCATACAAATACAACATGCATTCTATTTACAATAAGCAATTAAAATGTGACAGCAAAAATATGATTCTGGAGAAGTAGAAACAAATCAGGAATCTTATAACAGAACATCTAACAATATAAGGATGCAAAATAGGTGATATAAAATTTGATTCTCTATCCTATGTCTTAATAGCAGGATGGCATCATTTTTAGTACACTGTGACACAAAGATGGTATAGTTAAGTCACACCATGTTTGGAGGTGAAAACAATCATCAGGTTCTTGTAGTTTACCTGCCAGGCACCTCATAACACACAGTGTTCCAATGACAACTCAACTGCTCATTCCATTTTTCTAGATAGATAATGATTTTCTCCAATTTCATGTATATTGAGTGCAATTTTCTATCCCCTTTTACCAAACTCCTTCCTTCGCACTCCCTCAGCTTCTCCAATGACCCTTATTAGTGCTTACCCATAGCATCCTGGCCCATCCTTAGGTAAGTCTCAGTAGCTCTGCTTCCCATACACCAAACCTGCCTGTCTCCTCTGTCCACACCCTGCATGGACCATTCCCCATCAAGCCTTAATCAACCACTAGAGCCAGCCTATTCCATCCCTTCATTGGTCTCTCTTCCACTTGCAGCCACACCCACCTGCGAGTCCATTCTCCACACCGCAACCAGACACATTTAGGACTAAAACATTGGATTATATCCTTGTCTGGTACAACCACCACCACAGTGATGGTTCTCCGAGTTTTTTCTGTATTTGTATCACCCTGGGAGCATTCAAAAAGCTTGACAAACTAAGAGCAAATGTGTACACACACACACACACACACACATGCATACACATACATACACATCTACAACTCCCTGAGAATTCTATACAAAGCAGAATCTGAGAGTCACTGACCCACCGGCCCTGCAGGGTCTGTGGTCAGGGCTCTGCCTCCTTTCCTACCCCTACCACGGCTACTATCCCTCACTCATTGCCATCCAGTGGCCATCCACATTTCTGCCACTTGAAGATATGAGGCATGACCCTTACTCAGGCCTTTGACCTTCTTTTGCCTTCTGACTGGAAGCCTCCAGAATGGTTTCCTCTCACTGTTTAGGGATCATTTGAATTTCCCCTCAGACCCTGGGAAAGCAGCTCTGCCTCCACAGTTCCATGACTGGTTTTATATTAGCTTCACATCACATTGGAAGGATTTGTCTGTTTTTCCTACTGTATCACAACTCTGCAAAAGCAGACTTCGCTAAGGCTGTTTGAAGGTGTTTGTAGAAGGATGCATGTAATAAAAACCTAAACTGCCACCACCAATGACAAAGCTAGCAGCTGCTTTTTATGAAACCTGATTGTCTGGCGCAGTCATCCTTGCCACAACCTAGAGAGCAGATGTCATTTCTATCTCCATTTTACAATGAGAAATGGAGGTACAAAGGGAAAGTAACATTCCCAAGGTCACATTGGTGGAATCTGAAGACTGGCAGTTTGCCACCATTGTAAGTAGCATACTGCTGATCACCAGCAAAAGAGTATTTCAATAAAATGCTATACTGAAACATACGTTGGAGAAAATATTGAAGAAATGGTACTGGGAAAACTGGATAACCACATATATAAGAATGAAACTAAATCCCTAACTTGCACGTTTTGTATAAAGAAACTAAAGCTGAATAAGTTAGATTCCAAAGTTGGTGACTAAGAAACAAGGCCAAACTCCATACTTGTTTACCTTATGCAACCAGGGACCATTGTTCTACTCTGAAACACACACCTGTGTGAAGTGTAAATCAAGACAATACTTTTTTAGTTTTAGGATGCTATACTTCAGCAGGGTTTAGATACATGAAAGGCAATGTTCACTATCTTGGAGAGTTTTGTTTACTATGATTACAAACAACATATTGTTTTCTAAACTAGTCTGTGATTTATTGAAAGGAAAAGTATTCAAATATGTACTTTCTATAGTAAGAAATAATACCCTATAATGTTTCTCCTATCTACTGTTCTAACAACTAGAATTTCTCTGTAATTCAGTAAGCAGTTAGGAAGTTATCCAAACCTCATCCAGCCACCTGATGGGCTTATTAACAGAGAATTCTAAATACTTTCCAATAGTTCAAAATACCTTTTCTCATTGGAAGCACATACATGCAATTCTTTTGCAACCCCTAAGTAGTATACTTCTCAGTTCTACTGGTGGGAATACTATAACAAATATGATTCAACAATGAAAAAAAAACATGTAAATTGTAATTCATGTTAGCAATGGTCAAAGATCTTCCTGTATGTTATCAGTTTTATATGTACAACTAGGGACTAGTCTTTTAAATTAAAATCTTTTTGATGCTGGTACTAGGGCTTGAACTCAGGGCCTGGGTACTATCTCTTAGCTTTTCTGATCAGGATTGGTGTTTTTCCACTTGAGCCATAGCACCACTTTTGGCTCTGCTGGTGGTTAATTAGAGATAAGAGTCTCCTGGACTTTCCTATTTGAGTTGGCTTCAACCCATAATCCTTAGATCTCAGTATGCTTTTTAGCTAGGATTACAGATACGAGCCACTGGTGCCAGTTTAAAAATTTTTAATTTTGGGGGGCTGGGAAGGTGGCTCAGTGGTAGAGCGCTTGCCTTGCATGCATGAGGCCCTGGGTTCGATTCCTCAGCACCACATAAGCAAAAAGAAAAAAGCTGGAAGTGGCGCTGTGGCTCAAGTGGTAGAGCGCTAGCCTTGAGCTGAAGAGCTGAGGGACAGTGCCCAGGCCCAGAGTTCAGGCCCCACAACCAAACCCCCCAAAAAATTAATTTTGCATATATAATTTTATTACCTTTTAAGTAGTTCTACAAATGGGGTTTCACTGGGAGAGGGTGTGGGAAGGGAGAGGGTGTGGGAAGGGGTGACATTGTCCAAAAAGAAATGTACTCTTTAACTGACTTATGTAACTATTACCTCTCTGTTCCCCACCTTTACAAAAGAAATACAAAAATGTAAAAAAAAAACAAATGGGGTTTCAACATTTCAGTTTATTGGTACAATACATCTATATCAACATCTTCACTCAGGTCACCTTGAGCCTACAAATCAAGGCTCGTGATTGCTAGTACATGGGGTTTAAACTAGAGATTAGCAAACTTTTCTCGGGAGCACTAGAGAAGGTAGTTTGATTTTTGTGGGCTTTATAATCTCTATAATTATTTAACTTGACATTTTAATATATAAGCAGCTGTTTCCCAATAAACCTTTACGAAGAACTCTGAAGTGTTAATTGCGCATATTTCACCTTTCAAAAACTGTTATTCCATCAAGCACTGGTGAGTCACACCTGTAATTCTAGCTACTCAGAAGCCTGAGATCTGAAGATCAAGGTAGAAACTCTTATTTCCAGTTAACCAGCAACAAGCTGGAAGTGCAGCTGTGGCTCACATGGTAGCGTGCCAGCCTTGAATGAAAAAGCCAAGCTAGAACATGAAGTTCTGAGTTCAAACCCCAGTACATACACACAGACACACCTACGCACCCATTCCCCACACACATACATAGACCCCCTTAATAAAACCATTTGAAGATTTTTTTTAATGTTATTCTTCTCTGAGTTGTTTTCAAACATTTAAGATATAAACAATGCTCTAAGCTAGCAACTACAGAAACTGTATTCTGCAGTTATCTGTCAACTCCCTAATTTAGACCATTGCTGCTGCCAATTTTCCAAGCTCCCACTCTCTGATGAATTGAGGATACCCTTGCCACACTGGAGACATGTCCACAACAGTACCAATGCAGCTGCACATATTTTCCTCTCACATCAGGCAAACTGCCATTATTTCAAGCACTGCAAGTACATATTGCAATGCAATGTCTTCATGCAAATACAAATAACCTAATTCACTATGGTGCACTGGCATTCTGTTGTTTGAATAGTATGGCACAGCATGCAAGCTGACATAATGCAGTTCAGTGCAGTATGTTATCATTTTTCTTCCCAAAATTATATATAAGAAATGGAGGCATGAAATGACATGCCTGCTGCCAGCATTGACCACCAGAAACTTGTTTTGTGCAGTGTGGCCCTAAATTATAATACTATCTGTCCTATTACTGCTATATACTGCT